AGTTTGAATCCCCATTAAAGTGCAAATCCTGAATTAATTAATGTATGAGTTGAAAAAATCAATTAATACGCCTAGAGTTTACCCTCAGTTCTACTTAGACTCACGAGCCTAAGCGATTAAGTTACCTCTATTTTATCGAGGATTGGTTAGAGATTTTCCCCGTTGAAAAAAAAATGATCAATAAGGGATGCCGAAAAATATTTAACTGGTGTGTGGATGTATCATATTGTTTGGTTCATAAAATTTAATCTCAAATTTTCATTCTATTTTTATCACCCACCTACTACATGATTAATTTTAGGATTAATTGTAAGTTACACCCCGAAAGATAGTTAGAATCTCAATTTAGACCCTCAACGATCAAAAATTTTAATTTACACCCTCAAAGATAAAAATTTGTATCAATGTGCACCCTCAAAGATAACAAATCTCAATTTCTACCCTCAAATATAGAATTTGTATCAATGTGCATCCCCAAAGATAAAAAATCTCAATTTATACCCTCAAAGATAGAAATTTGTATCAAAGTGCACCAAAAACTAAATTTGATAAATTATACATAGATCTCCTCATGCTTGTCACTTAATCATTTGAACCCCTTCACATTTAGAATATTACTCCTACATCTTATAACGTTTATGCACATGTAACACGTAACTCCTTTTCATTGATATCTGTTAATATAACAGTTAAAAAATATGATTTTATCATAATAAAAAATTATAATTTCATATTACCCTTTATTTTATGGGTCCAATATAATCTAAAATTCAAAATCAAGCTTATCATTTGAATGCCCAATAAAATGTAGATATTTATATAATATTTTTTATATCCAATGCAATATATCACTCAATGTGCAACCATTTATTCTATTAGACATTCAAATGGTAAATTTGATTTTGAACTTTAGAGTATATTGAACCCATAAAATAAAAGGTAATATGAAATTATAATTTTTTATTAAAATAAAATCATATTTTTTAACGGTTATATTAATAAATCTTAACGAAAATGGGATACGTGTTACACGTGCACAAACATCATGAGATGTAAGAGTAATATTCTAAATGTGAAAGGGTTCAAATGATTAAGTGAAAAGTATAAAGGGATCTAGGTATAATTTATCAATTTAGTTTTAAGTTCACATTAATATAAATTTCTATTTTTAAGGATGCAAATTAAGATTTTTTATTTTGAGGGGTGCACATTGATACAAATTTCTATGTTTAAGGGTGAAAATTGAAATTTTTGATCTTTGAGGGTGCACATTGATATAAATTTATATCTTTGAAGGTGTAAATTGAGATTCAAACGAAATTTCAGAGCGTAATTTGTAATTAACCTTTATTTTTATCGCTCAAATTAGACTTTTGTTTTTTGGCCAGACACTAAGGGAGAAAAAGGACGAAGTTTAAATTCGCAACCTTAAAAAATCAATAGTGGGACAATAGAAATTAGAACTTACTGCTGACAACTTACCTTTTTTTTTTAATAAAAAATGCAGGGGTGGCTCTCCGGCGCCAGTGTTAATAAATTGGATGGCCCAACAAAAGATCTTTTTGTACGCAAATAAACTAGTGGAGGAGAAATTTTAGGAATAGTTCAATATTCAAGTCTATTTTATTGCAAGAAAGAGATATCAAGTTTATCACTAAATAGGATGATTTAGTGAGATACTGACCTTATTTCTCATAGAGGTTGAGGGTCCAAGTTTTGGAGTCTTCATTAAGGTTTGATGGTTGACCGTCATACTAACCTAGTTAAATCTGATCTTAAAAAATATTTCAGGTGTTGTTAGGGGTCTTATGATCCCACTGATGAGGACCTATTGGAGTGGTCACTACGCACTCTTACTTGTTCCCACTCTCTTTTTCTCGAGCAAAAAAAAAAAAAAAAGTATCAAGTTTGACATTTCTTAATTCCTACACCTCCTAAGGGCTATAGCAACTCTCGCTTTTAAGAGAACATATTTTTAACCTAACTCCAATTAAGTGATTAATTTAAAGTTTGAAAGAGTCGACGGAAGAACTTGTAGAGAAAAAAATAACTAGCGGAAGAGAAAGTGAATGGCTGCCAAAAAGATTGGAAGGCAGAATTTATCAACACATATCAGTCTCATGATGTATGCCTGGGGTTTGGTACTTGCTCACTGCTCAGGTAATCTTTCCTCTTTCGGATAATTATATGGATCCTATAAAATTTATTATTTAATTACTTAAACTCCTTAACATTTAAAATATTATATACAGATCTTGAAGTTTATACGCACGTAATACTTAGACTCTTGATATAAATATATCATTTATTAAATTATACTTAGACCCCTAAAATTTATAAGTATATAATAATTAAACCCCTTAAATTTAAAATATTATACTTAGATCAAAAGTATTCCAATCAAAAATAAAATATCAAATATTTTAAATTTTACAACCAAAATTCATGTTCTATTGTATCATTTATTGAAATAAAATCAAAAATAAAAATTCAATTTTTTCTTAAAAAATCATAATTAGTTTACAATTATATTGTCTATTACAATTTAATTTGATCGTTTAAACAACCAAATTAAACACCAAACTATCTCAATTAAAGTTAAAAGATATTGTGTCAATTACAGTTTGACCCCTTGTTTAATTTTTTAGTTTTATTCTAACATATAGTATAATTATATACTAACTATGATTTTTTTAAAAAAAACTTTACTTTTATTTTTGATTTTATTTCAATAATAAAATAATAGCACATGAATTTTAGATGTAAATTTTATTTTATATTATGAATGACTTAGGCCCCTTATTTGATTTTTTAGTTTTATTCTAATAGATAATATAATTGTATACTAATTACAATTTTTTAAGAAAAAAATAAATTTTTATTTTTAATTTTATTTCAATAAATAATACAATAGAATATAAATTTTTTTTATTAAATTTAAAATATTTGATATTATATATTTGATTTAAGTATAATATTTTAAATTCAAAGAGTCTAAGTATTATATACTTACAAACTTTAGAGGGGTCTAAGTATAATTTATTAAATGATATACTTACATCAATGGTCTAAGTGTTACGCGCATACAAACCTCAAGAGATCTATGTATAATATTTCAAATATCTGAAAGTTTGAGTGATTAAGTGACAAACCTCAAAAAATCTGGGTATAATTCTCTGCTTCTCTTTTGTCACACTCGTATTATAGTAACAAAAAGTATTCTTTTGCTACTTCTCATTCTATTCATTATTATTTTAATATATANTCACACTCGTATTATAGTAACAAAAAGTATTCTTTTGCTACTTCTCATTCTATTCAATATTATTTTAANCGCATACAAACCTCAAGAGATCTATGTATAATATTTCAAATATCTGAAAGTTTGAGTGATTAAGTGACAAACCTCAAAAAATCTGGGTATAATTCTCTGCTTCTCTTTTGTCACACTCGTATTATAGTAACAAAAAGTATTCTTTTGCTACTTCTCATTCTATTCATTATTATTTTAATATATATATATATATATTTGTATTTTATATTATTTTATCATTATTACAAATCACTCAATTTATAATCCACCACTCTGAATTAATTTTGGTATGGTATCCACATTTGTCTTGGGTACCATATACTTATCCCAAGTTTGATCTTTAGCAATTGAAGTGATAAACTAGTCAATTCACAATACTCATAAAATAAATAAATCAATATAAATTTAATTCAACTCAACTAAACAATATTTACATACAATCCAAACTCACCTACACACAAATTATTTATAACTTCTATGACATTAGTCAAATTTTGACACGGTATAAATTATATATGATATTTACATAATCGACTTATTGGCAGTACTTCTTATGTAGTTATTATAAGGAACACATACTTAGCCAGGCTCTAGCACGGATCCCCCAACAAAATGACAAGCGGTGGTACTAGGCAAACATCGCTTTAGTTGCTCTTTTGTCCAAACACGAATCCACGAGGAAATCATGGAATTTTTTTATCGTCTGAAAAAAAAAAAGGGCCAAGGTTGCTATTTTCTTATTTTACAATTGGAACCTTGAATTATGTATTTATTACATTGGCATATTTGCATTATCAATCATCAAACTTCTTAAATAATTCGTAATTTTATGATTTATTGGGCCTAATTGGAGTTAGTTTTTTTTTTAAGTCAGCTTAAGTAAGTAATTCTTAAGAGTTGTAGAATAAAATAAATTAGGTCTGTTTGGACCTTGGTTATTTTATAAACTTATGCGGCAGATTTTTTGGACCCAAAAGAGTTTAGTTAGGCTAATTTAAGAAGTTAATTTTATGAGTTTTTCTACCGATTTTTTAGAGTTTTGTCGCGGGTTGTACATAATTTTTTAGTTTATTATATTTATAAAATATTATTAGTGATGTAAAAAAATTTAAAATTCATATTTTAAAAACTATTATGCATAATCTGTACAAACATATAATTATTTTTTTTATTTTAACAAAATAAAGCCAAAAAAATTAAAAAAATTACTCAAAACAGACTTTTTTAATTTTTTTTCAACTTTTTAAATAGCACCTCAAATGTGAAACTTTTTTAACTCTTAACTTTTTTATGAACTTTTCAAACTGCAACTTTCCATATAAAAAGTAAATTCCAGTCAGGCCCAATGTGAAAAAACCCACCATTATTGCAAAAAGTCCGGGCCAAATTAGAATTACATTAAATAAGAGGGACGGAAGAGCAAAAGTAGCCACACGAGGAAGTTATAAAGTGCAGGACACCCAAAAAGGTTGGTAACCGCTCACACATTGACCTTCGACAGCCTATCTATCTCTGCCTCCTTGCTCGCAACCCCACTTCCCCTCTTGAATCTACCGCCTCCATTGACTCACCAACCTCCCCACCCCCTCTTCTGTCTCTCTATCTTCAAGCCCTTTCACAAGCTTTGAAGAGCTAAAAGCACAGATCTTTACTCACCCAGTTGTCGATTTCTTTGTGTTTTTTTGCAATGGGTGGCGACGGAAAGGTCTTTACTTTGGCGGAGGTCTCCGACCACACCACTTCCAATGACTGTTGGATCGTCATCAGTGGCAAGGTACAGTTCTATTCACCCCCTTTTCAGTGCTTATGAGTGATTCGATTTGTTCATGATTTCACATGCCTTCATCAATTAGATCTGTTAAAGAACTCAAAAGTTTTTGAGTAATCTTTCTTCTTCTTAATCTGGGTTATTGATGTTGTTGTGATCCCCGGTGTATCTGTAAGGGTGCGATGAATCTATTCTCTTCTGTCTGAGTTTTGGGTTTTTTCTTCCCATTATTGAGAATTTGACTATTTATATCTCTTTATATTAACACCTTAATTCCCTTGAAGATTTACTTGGGCATATAAAATCAGTATGTGAATGTCAGATTGTCGTCCAGTGTTGTATTCAACGGTGCCTGTGTCCTAAGCTAGGATAAAGGAGGAGGGCTGTGTTAGATAGCCCACAACCCGCCTAAAACTTTGTCGGATCCACCACCATGAATATCAGATTGTGTGTGAGGATGGAAAGATAGTTATTGATTTTCAAGTTTCTTNTTGTATTCAACGGTGCCTGTGTCCTAAGCTAGGATAAAGGAGGAGGGCTGTGTTAGGTAGCCCACAACCCGCCTAAAACTTTGTCGGATCCACCACCATGAATATCAGATTGTGTGTGATTCTATTGTAGGATGGAAAGATAGTTATTGATTTTCAAGTTTCTTGTTATGATAAATTTATCCTAGTATTTTTCCTTTTATTTTGCTTGTGACATCTACTATTTGTGTTAATTGTGTAAATTATGATTTTTAAATCCGATTGGATGCAAGATTTTAATAGCTGGATTACCTATAAAGACTATATGGTTTAGATATATAGGATTTTACTTCTGATTCTTATCGGAAAAAAAAAAAAGGATGAAGGATTTTACTAAATTATTTAATATCTATGCACTCACATGAGGAGCATATGGTACATGAGTGCTGTATTGGCAACTTCATAGCAGGAAAACATGAATCTAGTGTAGTTAACTTACCTTTTTATTGCTCCATTACTAGTTCAACGTTGCTCTTCTGTTTCAATTGCTTGTTAACTCTATATGTAGGAGTTAGCTAAAAAAATGGGTAGATTTTATTTATGGCTATCATATATGTAGGATTTTCCCATATTTTTCATGTGAATCCCCACGAAGGAAATTATGATTTTTGCTATTTAATTTCCCAGCTACATTTAGAACACAAGAAAGCTAGATATTTATTCCTAGTAATTTCATCTGCTGCCTTTTGATCTGATTGGAGTTTTAGTGGAAGTTGATGTTTGGGTCGATTTAAGGGTTACCCCATATCTTTGAGGATGGTGCCCCTTCTTCCATGGTTCTTCTTGTCCACATAGTAAATTTATCTGAATCGTCTACGTTGCATGCTTTGAATGCATCATAGAATGGCTTTGGCAACAATAAAAAAAAATGGATTCGGTATTTAATCTTTTTGTTAAGAGTGTTTTTAAAACCCGCCCCTGCCTGACGGGTTGACCCGCGAACACGGTGAACCGGACTGGTTCATTAATTAGATCGTTGGAGCATTAAACCCGCTCAAGACCTGTTGAACCAGACGGTTTTTGGCTAAACCGTTCAACTGTTACAATTAACCCTCCTGGGTCACTTAAAGTGGTATAAAAGCAGATTTTTTGGGCATTTAGCCCTAATTGTTTCTCAGCCCCAACTTCTCAGTCTCTCTCAATCTCTCCGACTCGCCTCTCTCTCTCAGTCTCAGCTCCCTTTGTCGATTGTCTTGCCACCCTCCTGGTTCTGTTCGTTTTCTAAGTTCTTCACTGGCTGAATCTGTTCATTGTCATTTTGTTGTATTAAACCGAAGTAGGCTTAAGGTTTTGCTTTAATACGCTCTTGAACTTCCTTCACTTAACAGGTACTTTATCACTTAGTCATTGTTTGTAGCTGTTATTTTTGGTTAATTATTTNTAAGTTCTTCACTGGCTGAATCTGTTCATTGTCATTTTGTTGTATTAAACCGAAGTAGGCTTAAGGTTTTGCTTTAATACGCTCTTGAATTTCCTTCACTTAACAGGTACTTTATCACTTAGTCATTGTTTGTAGCTGTTATTTTTGGTTAATTATTTGTGATTATAGAACTAATTTCGGGTTGTATGGATTGAAGTCGATGAAAAATTTGAAAAACTTTTTGCTGGAGATTGATTGATTAAAGACTTTATATCGAAATTCTGTTATGGTTGTAAATCATAAACATACATATGGGTTGCGATCTTATTATTGTTACGTAATTTTGAGTTCTTTGCTTTCTCTTTGCTTCTATTATTATTAGGTGTTTCCTTTGCTGGAATGGCATTTGGGTTTTAGCTCAAGGTTGGCTCTACCTNATTAAAGACTTTATATCGAAATTCTGTTATGTTTGTAAATCATAAACATACATATGGGTTGCGATCTTATTATTGTTACGTAATTTTGAGTTCTTTGCTTTCTCTTTGCTTCTATTATTATTAGCTGTTTCCTTTGCTGGAATGGCATTTGGGTTTTAGCTCAAGGTTGGCTCTACCTTTTCTAGAATTTCATTTCAAATTATGCTCAAAATATAAAATAGGAGGATATCAATTTTTTACTGGAAAAGAATTATTTCAAATTTAGCATATTTATTATTAATAATATTTATTTTTTTATTATATAACCGATTCGACTATTGACCCGGTTCCTTTGTTGGGTTGATGTCCGGGCCGAGATTTAAAATACTGGAGATAACGACATAAAAATCAGAAACAATATAAATCCATTTTTTTTGCACTTAACCCCCTCCTTCCCTTTTCTTGATTCCATGTCATTTATGGAAGGTAATTGCAGAAGTCATTGTTTCATCACAGGATTTTAGTATGTTTTCACATTTTAGCATGAATTATGAATTTAAATATTGGTTGATAAAGTCTACAACAATTTCGTTATTGCTTTGTATGTCAATATGGGGTATTATGCAGTTTTACATATGCATGCACACACACAGCTGAATGGATGCCATATTAGATTGGTTTCAAATATGTAGCACAACTATTATGGATTGAATTGCAATGAATTCATTATTTGTCAGATAGAAACTCATATATATTACATAGCCTGTGAACCTACTATGGGCTTATTGAGCAGAACAACCTGAGTTGCAAAACTCGTCTTCACTAGTATGTGGCTGTTGTATAACTTGCAGTTAAGGTCTTCATCTTGATTCCTCTACTGGGTATGGAGTTTTCTATGGCATTGTATGAAATTATTTGCTTGCTTTAGTTTTCTAAATCCCTTCATGCTTTAATGTGTTGGAACAGGTATATGATGTGACAAAGTTCTTGGAGGACCATCCTGGTGGTGATGAGGTTTTGTTGACAGCCACTGGTAGGAACTAAAATTTGCAATCTTTCTGACATCATAAATAGTTATGGTGACTTCTTATGTTGTCACTGTTCTAATGGTAGTTAAAGTTTGTGTCGGGCGCAGCATTTAATTGGAAGTTTATTGAATTTGGATTGATGAAGATGTGGGGTTCTCAGACCTGCCCCTTCAAATGCATTGTCTAACTCATTTTACACCCAGAAATCAGAGCTAAGTAATGTGATAAATAGACACTGTTTGATGGTCGTAATGGTTTGTCCCTTGCAGGGAAGGATGCAACCGATGATTTTGAGGATGTTGGGCACAGTACCAGTGCAAGAGCGATGCTGGATGAATTCTATGTGGGCGACTTTGATACATCAACTGTCTCCACCCAGACCACGTATACTCCTCCCACACAGCCTCAAAACAGTCAAGGAAATTCATCAGATTTCATCATCAAGCTGCTTCAGTTCTTAGTTCCCCTGATTATCTTAATCGTGGCTCTTGGCATCCGTTCCTATACCAAATCACCGGCTTAATGATGGAGCGCGCAAGGAATTGGAATGCAATTCTTAATAATAAGTTTATCCAATAAGACCCTGCTCTTTTTGTTATCATCCACCAATACTGTTAAGATTCAGTGGATGGTACAATGTTTCGACTTTTAAGTGGTAATCAGTATGTGCCTGTTTTCCTTTGCCATTTACTTGTTGAGACTCGTGGTTTGCCTCATTGATATGCCACCCTGAAAGTTGTCTCGTTTCGTTTGTGTCACTTTATTTATTTGGAGGATCTAATGAAGGTATCTGTCTACCTATGAGAAACCACCAACACCATTTGTGGTTTGAGCTATCGCACCTTGGTTACTTTCACCCATGAAAATTGGTTTTTGCTAGAGGCTTTTCAATGATGCAATGTTTATGATAAATAATGCTCGGAAAAGCATTTTGCTTTGCTTACCTTAAAGCCTCTCTCACATTATGGGTTGTGTTGACCATCAAAGCTGGTGGTCTGGNTATGATAAATAATGCTCGGAAAAGCATTTTGCTTTGCTTACCTTAAAGCCTCTCTCTCACGTTATGGGTTGTGTTGACCATCAAAGTTGGTGGTCTAGTGATAAGTTATACCCGTTTAGGGTCATTCTCGACTCCTGTGTGATTATCAAACAAAGTTTAATTTATGAGAGTAATATAATTTGTTGTTTGGTTTTGGAAGTTCTGTGATAACGGGCTGCCATTTTGAGTTAGTAGCTATAGTTCAAACCGGATATTCTATAGTGGGGGATCCTCGTAGTCATGCCAAATGAGAGTTATTATTTATTGGTCACCCTTCTACCTTTTTTACCTAGCCAAAAAAAACAATAAAGGTTGTGTTAGGTAAGTTACATGCATCATTCAAATTTATAAAGAAAACAAACTTGTGATATAAATAAAAAATATGGTATTTGATGGACTAAAATGGAGGAAAAATTCATGTAATTGATCCCAAATAATAAAAATTAACATTTTTTTGAGTTGAGTTAAATCTCAAACAGTATCGGATGTTTGATTGAGAATCACTAAGAAAAGATAAAAACAAAGAGTATCCAGCCACATAAAACAAGACCACTGTGGGCTCTTCCGTGTTGAAAGCACAAAGCATGCGCTGTTTTTGTATCTCGATGGTNACTTTTTTTAAATGTTGGAGGACCTTTTTCTATATTGAAAACCCAGCATGATTAAATTGANAAAACAAAGAGTATCCAGCCACATAAAAGAAGACCACTGTGGGCTCTTCCGAGATGAAAGCACAAAGCATGCGCTGTTTTTGTATCTCGATGATTCCAACCCTTAGGTGGTGTTTGTGTAGTGTGCTAAAGGTGGTTATCCGCCAGTTGAATGGGATAAAATAGGGGTGAGGCCCAGATAACCCTTTGTTTGGTAATAAAAAAGAGAGACTAGATATCTTTTTCGGATTATGGATTATCCCATGACCCGGGTGCACAATAATTTATTCCCTACTTATATGGGTTAATTTTAACCCATCTATTCGGTGGGTCAATATTTCCACGCCAGGATACTGTGTGAAAGTTTCTATTTTACCCTTGCTTTAAGGCAAAAACGTTAAAGGCATAAGAGAGAAACGGAAAGCTGGGTTTTGAGGTATTCTTCTCTCCTTAACAATGGCAGATTTTTATAATTTTTTGTGTGTGAATTTGTTAGATCTGTTGAACCAGAAAATGATCTTCACCCAGTAGTGACAGAGAGGATATATGGGTAATGGGTGCAACCAAAATAGGCAAGCTCTTTATAATGGAGAAGTTTTGGTTCATGCAAGTCTTAAATGCAATGGAAACATGTTACCCCACGTATTGCTAATGTTAGGTGGTCCTTTATTTTCTTTGTTATTGTAATTCTAGGGTAATTCATGTCCC